TTTTAACATTTACTAGAAAAATCTGTCTTTGAAGATTCAACTATACAATGTCAAATGTTTCCCTTTTTTAAGTTTCAGTACTACACTGTACTGCCACATCTGCAAAAATTCCATCCACTAATAAATTATAGGCTTAATATTTTTCCTTTAGATACACTACAGCAAGATTGACGTACTACCAAGAAATATATTCACACACCACCTATTTCATATTTACTTACCTCCTCTCAAGCTCCATCTTTAAAAAAAATTAAATCCTGTATGCAAAATGTTTCATATGTTTTGACAATATGCTCTGATCAGGCAGAATTTCCACATTTTCATAGACAAATTTTTACAATCTTATTTTTATTATTTCTGTAAATGTACCTTAGTCATAACCCCTAATTACAGAGTAAGACAGAAGTGTATTTCCAATCTCATGTTTGGTCAAACATTCACTGAGACTGTTATCTTAAAGATTTTCTAGTTTCTAACTATCTATTCATATACTGTATCTCCTTGATGAATATTCAATATTTGTACATAATTCTTAAATTGATGATGATGATAGTTGCATTGTACTACACAAATGGCTATGCTAGTCAGCTTCTAGTACATGACTATGGAAGAGCACAGCAACATGGCAATAACAGTTTCCTTCAATAACAAACAGGGCTACAATACAGGTGATTAATAGGAAGATTATAACAGTTGTTCTTCAGATTTTACAGGGAAAGTTAGACTTAAGTGCTATATCTAAAAGGGTCTTCCAATTGTGTGTGTAAGAGAAGGCAACTATCAAAAACATGCAATAAGAAGGCTACTACCACAAACACGCATGTTAAGGCGACTACCATAGCCATGTGTCTTGTGGAATGTATCTATCATAGCCAAGTGCACTGCTGCAACACTTAACCCTGTCAGTGTTGGTTCTGTTATATCATGACTTTGAAGCCAGTGTCAGTCCTGTAGTAAGATGCCACGAGCTCAGCTCACTCAGATAAGCTATGAGCAGTAAATTTGGGTCTAGATGAGATAATGAGTCCATGCATTAAGTGTGCACCATTTAAAAAAAATCCTGGAGCACACAGTGCACGAGGAAAAAAAAATGGCAACAGTGTTTTTCGTTTAAAACAGTGACTTTGTGGCATATTATCATAAGGTTTTTATGGTTGTATTTTCTTGGTTTCATTTGACAGACTGGAAGATATATTACAGAAACAGAGATTGGTTTGATGGGTTTCGGGACTGAAATTGTGCTCAATGTAGTGGAAATGTTTGATTTCTGCCAATGTTGAAGAGTAAATAAACATCACTACTCCAATACATGTCAACTACTAAGTCTAATATGCATTCACAAATGCACTGATGTCATTTGTATAATTACAATAATGCAATAGTCTGCAAAACATTAAATCTATTTTTTGAGAATAAAATTTCAAAATAGAAATTATAAATAGAAGGGCCTGAAGACATGACTAGTGAACAGAGAAAACATTATGTGAATGCCAGGAATGTCTGCATTGTTTATTCTGGACCCCATTTTGAAATTGGTCTTTCTTAAATTTTGTCTGGAACTGGCCAAATTACCTATGTCTGATCACTTGTTGAACCCTTTGAGGGTCGGTCACGTACTAGCATCTGGTGCTTTATAACAACGTGACTAGTACAATGCAACATAGTGATTTGTGTAACATCTTCCTTTAGTGGAAAAGTGGATAGCATAAACAGTGTTTATTAGTGATAGTGAGAAGGCAACACTTCCAGCTCGTCGGCCCACTGCCGCCCTCACTACCAACCCCGCTATAAACACCCCCACCCACGATACTCCACCCCACCCACGATACCACCACCCACCTTCTCTCTCCTGTGAACTTCATTGCAAACCTACAAGCCTCCTCTGGGATGACTTCACACCGCAAAATAGCGAGAATATCTACGCTATCTGGCTATTGTCCCAGTATTTTACTGCAGTGTTTGTGGGTACCACAAGGGACAAAATTCTTCTTAGATGTAAGGAACCTACTTGTTCCAACTACTGCCACACAGATTGCATTCCAGAAGAAGAATTTTGTTGCAGCCAGGTTGAAATTTCAGAAAATTAAAGGGGATATCCATAATCCTGTGGTATATGTCGATACAAGCCTGGGCTACAGGAGGAAGGTTCAGAAGCCCTACCTCAGGGACTCCTGTCCAAAGATCAAGACTGCCCTCTTGGGCTGTGTTGTAAAAGTTGCAGCTAAGATAATCCATCACAGGGAAGCATTTCATGAGCTCCTCAAATCATTAGATAACCTCCAAGCTATTGTAAAAGGTCAGTGCAAGCCTACATCAAGTGACGTAAGCTGCTCAGTGATGGTGACACTATTGACAAAGACTGGAAGTCCCACACTGAGCTTACTCGGGGTAAATAACTGGTGGAATTCTGTCATCGCTAAGGTCCCACAGACTGACAGAGTTCAAAACACTACCTTTGGGAATTCTAACACAATTCCTCTGACCACCACAGAGGGAACAAATCCTCTTCCCAGCAACGAGGGAAGCCTTGGATTTGTTAATTCTCCTACACCTGACATCTCTGCTTCAGCCACTGCCAGTCCACTTGACAGTGCACATACCATCTCTCATCCTACACCTGTCAGCACACCTGCCGACACTATCCCAGAATCTGGTAACAGTGCTTCATCAGCAAGTTCTGAGCCAGGAGTTTCTCCACCAGAGATTGGTGCAGTTAAGTGTCGTAAAAACAGCCTTGTGGTTAGACGATCCAACGTAGCCGAGGGGTTGACAAGTGACTATGCCTTCTGCCAGATCACTCACTACTGGGTCAAGGGAGGAGCCAGAGATATGAGTAGGGAAATCAACAAAGTTTCTCATGTCAAACACTGCAAGAAGGTCATCAAAGTCCCTCTGTATAAGGTGCTGGTTGAGGTCACCAACAATTATAATATGTTGACAGTTGTGTTGCAGCAGAAGGGAGTCAATATTTCCATTAGGAAAATTGATAGGGTCTGCATGTTACACTGAGGTCTGTACATTGCACATGTAGTACAGAGGTACTAGTTTTTATACAGAGCTTGAAGAACATCATTTCAAGATGTGTAGGGGTGGCAACATCAATGTGTGGGCATGAACACTTCTAGAGAAGCACACAGCAACACCTCCTCCTTGCCCTTGCCTGTCTCTTCTCATCCTGAGGTGTAGCCAGCAATTCTTGCAAAATTTTCTGGAGTCCTGTCATCCAAAATGTTTCAACGACAGCTATTCATGTCGGGACGTCGAGTGTTCACAAAATTATGTGTGAGCTCTCCAACATTAGTAATGAAACCTCTAATGTTGGCCGACAGGATGCTGATAGACTGGCTCCTCATAATGAAGTGGTTAGCTTGAGGTGGTGGGTGTGTAGGGAATGTAAGGTGCCTGCCCTTGAGAGAGGTAGGGTACTGGGGCGCTGAGGATGTAGGTCTGTGGTCTTGTATAAGGCACAATACCAGCTGCTGGGCTGGGATAGGAGTAGCTAAGTGGGTGACGTGTGAGTTTGTTCACCAATTCCTGCTGGTTTGTTCTGAGAACAGGTCTCTAAACAGGTGGCCCTGTCTGTCAAGTTCCTTTTTCTTCCGACACTGGTCCTCCTGATGTCCTTTCTTGTAGCAGTAATTACACCTGATATCTCACAGGCAGTTGTTGGCAGTGTGCCCCTTTCGGTGACAGCGAGAGCACAGCCTAGGTGCCTGGGAGGGTGGACTAGGATTTGTTGCACATCCTGTGTTTTGCAGATTTGTCCTCAGATTCTGCCGCTGGAACTGTTAGTGGAGGGTGAGACGGCTGTAGATGTCTTCATCCTCCACGTCCTCTTCCATGTCCTCTGCCCCGTCCTCTACCAGTTCTGACAGATGTGTCCCTGCTGTTCATACTTTGGCGCAGTAGGTGATCAGGTGCAGTGATAGTTCCCTGATCATTAAGATCCCAACAGAACGAGGTGAGGAGTCCACACGCACAACCTGGCTATGGGAAAGAGATAATTGGCCAGCCCTCCGCTCTGAGCTCGCCACCACCGATTGGAATGCTCTTCTCCAAGGTGATGTTGACAACCAAGTGAAAGCCTTCACTGGACACATCCTTAATCTACAACAAGAACACATTCCTCACCGGCAATATGTGACGAAGCCTACAGATCAGCCTTGGTTTGGCTTTCATTGTAGAGAGGGTACTCAAAGTACAAAGCAGGCGAAGGTATAAAGGACATCCTACCACCAAAAACGGGGAACTTGCACCACAAGTTTTGGGATTGGGGGGACTTTAAAAAGTGGGCCATTGCTAAATGGGGGTGGACAAAAAAGAAAGCTAGATCGGTAGGGTGGCTCCAAAAACCTGGTGGCCCCGGTCAAGGCAGAAAAGGGTTTATCTCTGATGACTCTTTCCCCATCTAAATCGACAGGATGGGCCAAACCACTACTAGTATAAAGAAAAGGCGGACCTCTTTGTGAACACTTTGCTACCAAATGCAAGTTCCTGATAGAAAGGGGACCCTCTTGGCGCTGCAAGAACAGTGTAAAAAACTGTCAGTGGTGACAATAAGGCGGAGGAGGTGCTTTCCCTTTTAAAATCGTTTGCCCAAGAAAGGCCCTTGGGGGTCCGACAGTTGAGCCCAAAATTGTTGAGAAATGTGCAGATGTATTTTAAAGGTGTTCAGCAAAAGTTTTGGGGTTAAAGGGAAAGGGGGTGCGGGGGGGAAAGGGAGCGATTGGTGGAATGATGATTAAAAGAGATGAAAAGGGAGAAAAAGTTAGCTATGAAAAGTTTTTACAAAGTGAGTGTAAGGAGGGAAGGTATATGGGAAAAATAAGAGGTTAAGAGAGTGGTGAAAACAATGTAAAAAAAAGAGCAAATGAGGAGTGGTGAGATGTTTTCAACAAATTTGTTGAAAATAAAAAGTTTGGGTGGATTAACAAATTAAAAAGCCTACAGAAAAAAGGGTTTGTCATTAAAAAAAGGGGAAAGGGAGTTATTAAATGGGA